GCCTGATGCCTGTGGCTCGTTTGTTAGAATGGAGAACGACAACTCCAGATTAGCAGAAGTTTGCCACCAGTGGGGATATGACGGTACGCGCGATTACGTCGACAAATGGGGGCATGTCAGTCTATATCAAGATAGATTGTACAACCATGCGGCTTTTGTAGCACATTCATATCACTGGCTGCTGACTCCAGGTGGCTCAAGATTGGAATGTGATGACGGGCACGTTGGAGTGTCTTCTGGTGATTTCTGGAGAGTCTTTGTGCGATAAGATACTTGTAGCTGGACAAACGTATTCATCTAATCTTCGATACATACAAAAATAACAAATTTAAGTTAAATACAGTTTTGCGATCGGAAATTTTGTTTTGCGTTTAAGGACCTTTTAGACAGTTAGCAGCTTCCATAGAACGTCTATAAACACGAGAAATAACACCATCGTTAGCAAATCGAAAATGAAAATCCGATCGAAAATCCAATAAACGACGTGTAGCTTAACAATAAAATAAAACAAAACATAATTGTTTTATGGACAAATTAAATCTTCATCCTAGAGGGATTTGCTAACAACTCTAAATAAACCAACGTTAGCTGAGCTGCAAGCTCGCAACATCGCTGCCTCGATTTTTAGAACAATCAACGGTCCTAGCCCGCCTGCTTGCGTGACTTAATACAACTTAGGAATTCGTCTTATAACTTGAGAGGTACTAACATTCTTAATATCCTTAAGGTGTACACCACTAAGTACGGCCTTAAATAATGGCGATATTTTGGACGCAAATTATGGAACAGTCTCCCGGACCTGAGCAGATCCTCGACCAGCTATAAAGCGTTTAGAACTGCTGCCATATATATGTGAACTAATGTTAACAATTTTTCCTTTTCATATCTTTTACGTGTAAACAGTTTTTGTCTGTACAGTTTATATACATTTTATATTCTTATACATTTTTAGATATTTTATATTAGCTAGTTATGTAATCTCTGTTTGTTTAGTTTAATATTTATTCCTAAATGTACGTTTTGACTTTGTTATTTTGTTTTCTTGGCGAACCTGTAAACTGGTGCGTCCTGTAGACTCTGCTTATCAAGTCTATAGGACGCACCGCTACCATAGCTAAGTGTACGATCAAGTTAAATAAACTATGCCCATGTCCATGTCTATAATAAAATAAAAGGTTGTAAAATAAAATGCTTTATGATGTTTTATGATCTTTTTTGTCGATATATTTGCTCTTATCATAACAATTTATCATTTCCTGTAACTCTACTGTCTGTCATGAATTAAATATGCAAAAACAGTTATGGTGCATGGTAACAGCGTTATATTGTCTTGTTTTACTTTAATTCGCAAGCCGATGAAACTTCACACAAATACAATTCCCTGCGATATTAAAATTTCGATCACTCTAGGCTCTCATAATCCTGTAAAGAGCTTAATATTTGCTATTTTCTTTTCCGTTTAGAACTAACTGCGATCATGATCAGTGGTTTTTCTCGATTAGTTTATTTTTTTCTAGAAAATAACTTAAACAACAGGCAGCCCAGAATTAGAAAACAACGATATGTAAGACACATTGCGGTGACAAACATGACAAAACAACGTATGTCGTAAAAATTATGGTTTTGTGTTTGACTTTTCGTATGCTACAACATCATGGATCGCGTAGGGGGGGAGGGGCTAGGGGAGCCTTAGCCAACCCCCGCCCCCCTCAACCTCCACTTTCTCACAGTAAAAATTAAATAAGTAAAGCAAAACATAATATAATACAGCAAAATTTTATGAACACAATGCAGCTAGTCTTGTGTGTGCCTTGACGGGAAATTCCGTGGTCGTATTTATATACGTGGACGAATTATTGAGACCTAAGCTCAAATAATCACCTTTAGATGGGCTGAATTTAAAACAGCAGCAATGTTCCTACACATAATTTTGGAGAATAACTGTTCAGAGGACAAGGATGTCAGCTGTTTGTGGTGAACGAGTGGTTTATGTCCTGAGGAAGATGTAGAATGATGTAAGTTTGAAATCATTCTATGACGCGATTTTACTATAACCCTCCTGGCACTGAGAGGCAATGTTGCTGAAGCGAACGCGTACGCCAAGGAGAATTGAAATTGAGGAACCGTTCACTCTAATACATTCTAGAAATGATGCGTTTACGAAAACTATTCAAACATGTCCACAACACCGTTTCCCGGCAGCGTTTTCGCCATCCATCTGAAACCGCTCGAAAACACTGATACTCAAACGCCTCGGTTTTCGCTGTCGCCTTTAATAAGATAGAGTTCCGTTTTAAACTGTCTCCTGACTGTGGACACCGTTTTCGGATGTCTACATTTTTCGCTGACAACGATAAACGTCTGGAGAAAACGCATCAAATATACGTTTCACTGTGATAAAGTATTAGTATGGACAGGGCCAGCCGACTCGTTAACAATCCCCAGATGGCTTCTCTGGCCTTAGCAACTCCATAGTTTACCCAAGTTTCTATTTTCGTGTGAAATTTCAGCCGGTAAAATTCGTCGGCAGCTGGCCCTTAGCGACATCCTTTCCAGGCCTACTTTAGAACAGACAACCCACGTAAATACGAAACTGTTATAGGGGAATATCCTGTTGACTACAGCGTTTTAACCACCAAATGTTTTCAGCAGCAAACGCAACCCACATATGGAAACGGGCCGGAATAGAACCCGGACCACATTGGTGGGAAGCGAGCGCTCTCACCACTGCGCCACCACTGCGCCATCCCTGCTCCCCTGGAATTGGCCATTCTGCGTCTTCCAGAGGCATAAAATTGTAAACAGGTTTGTACATTAAACAGACGAACTTTAAACTGAACTGGGCAACCGCTCAAGCTGAAAATCGCAGGACAAAATGTTTAATGGACAGCGGGAGTTCTAAATCTTGATGCATTTTTTAGACTTGTTCGAAAGAGAATAAGGACAATTACCAAATTTCGATGTAATTTTCCACTGCTATTATATTCACCACTGATTTAACAAGTTCGACCGGAGCGATGTTCTTGCAGTGGTAGATTTTCAGTTTATTGCCTCTTTTCATGTGCCGTTGTCATATTCCGAAATAAAAATAAAACGTATCCTTCTGAGGTATGTAAGACCCTCTTAAAACTTGAAGTTTCATAGCTTTTTCGTTCTGTAATAGGGCCTTTTGAATTTCGCAACTTTTGAGTTGCAAAAATTGCGGCTCCATACAAAGCTCTATAAATTTGGGCGAACATATCTTTTTTATTATTGATTGCATGACAGGGAAAACCAGCAATTAATCGACGTTTATGCGTGCACTCAATGGTAATCAGGCTCCTTCCACACTGCGCCGGACGAATTTGAGAACGGAGTTTTCACACTGAATTGAATACGCATCAAATGTTTTCCGTCCACGTGCACGCAACGCAGGAGAAATTTAAAAATGCAACAATCACCGGTCATTTTGGATTTGTGTTTGAGGAAAACTCGGTCGTGGAAATCACGTGATTATCGTGATGTCATCGGTTTCGAAAAGCTCCATTTCCAAAATGTCTTCCGTCCACACGAAAACGAAAAGCCGACGTTTTCAAATTCCTTCGGTTTGAAGAGCGTTTTCGAAAAGCTGCGTTTTCCTGACGGATTAGCGTGGACGGTAGGCCTAACCGTAGAAATAAAGCTGCGGTTTCTAATTTCTCCGGCCTAGTGTGGATGCTGCCTAAGTTATCAGCTGGGAGTACTTCAGCCCCATACTGTTAGAAACCGTGACGTCGTGACATTCTGCGTGACATTTGTGTGATTCAGATCAGTTTTCCAAAAAGTCGTTTCTTTCAGTTTAATTTACTTTTTGACTAAAAGGATCACAGTAAAGACAATGATTTGTGATAAGAAGAAACCACCAGAATAAGAACTTTTTTTTTAAGCTGTCTCAATTGATGAAGGAACCAACAGGTGTTTTCACGTCATGATCGTTCCGTCGTGAACTCGCAATAGCCACGTCTTGGTTAAGAGCTAGAATTTTAAAATACAGAACATTTCGGTTTTCTCATATAAAAATGAGAATATCTCAGTGTTGCTTCAAGAATTTAGAGGGATATTGAGGAATGTCGAAAGCTAAGTGTTACTTGTTTTGCTTAACATGTGTTTGACACTTATCACCGCAAACCTTTGCGGTTTATGAGGTCTTGCTGTTCGCTTGTAACACGCCACGACCAAAGTATTTTTAAATAACACTAATCGACAGCAATCGACCATCAGCCGTTGTCTGAGAACATTTATTTTTATACAACGAATAACACTTCTTCCATCCAGTGAGTGATTATTTACTACTGCAAAACATTCCTTCCCTGAAGCATTATGCTACAACCCTTTGTTACTTGGAGGACGTCACAAGTTTCTGAAATGCAATTAGAACGAAAATTTGAATTCGTTTTTTCAACATTTCTTAAGCAATGCGTATCACTTGAAGCCAGCTGCGATGATTGAAAATGTCAAATACTCAAATGCGTCCAACTTTCTTGAACGCACATGTGAAAGCACTTCAACAGGTGCAAAGAGTTACGATGCCAAACAAACAATCAATTCGCGCTTGATTGAGCAATTCAAAGCAATATTTTCTTTCATTTTCAAAGGCGCCGAATGTCCTTTGTAAACCTCAACATAAAGGAAACTTGTTTTAATGAGGACAACATTCGCAAGTTTGCGTAAGACCTCTGATTAATTAAGCTAATTGCGAGCTGACCTCGATTATTTATTCTATGCCTAATGATCACGACACTCTCCATCAAGGTTGGCGTGAGATATTTGCAGTGATCTTAGCGTGACAAACGAAAACAAAAAAGTAAACAGAACCGATGTTTAACTTCTGAAAACTCCCGCGAACATTGCACAAATTGGTTGTTTAAATTCCTGCGACAGTTCAAAACACACTTGTCTTAGTACAATAGGCAAACGCTGTTTCCACCTGCTAGCCAATCAAACGCCGGTGCTCAAAATAAACTAGATTATCTAAATTTGCATATTGGAGTGTAAGTTCGTTTACTGCAGTGAAAATCGGCTGGTATCCATGTACAGACCCGAAAGGAAGACAAAATATTTTCGGTTTTTAAACTCGCTGGCTAAACTTAGCAACATTGCGAAGAAATTGCCTATTTAAACAGACGACATCGAGCAAAAGACTCTTCAAAAATTGCCGTGGAGACCTCTCACAATACTATACTCTAGATACAGCAACAACATCTTTATTACGATAATGGGAAATACGGTGATAGTTTCCGTACGTCGATTTCGCCCACGAATAAAGTTTCGTAGGCCTTTTCATGTGGTTATGCTAGGACTGGACAAGAGTGGAAAAACAGCCATTTTATACCGAAGTAAGTGGAAAGATTGGAAAGAAAGAATTGTGCCGACTCCTGTGTTTAACGTCGAAACTGTTCGACCGTCGAAAGACTTAAGATTTAAAATTTGGGATGTGAGCGGCAAGGAACATATCCGGCCGCTTTGGAAGGCGTACGTTCGGCAGGCAGATGCCATTATTTTCGTCGTTGATAGTGCAAACGAGGAGAGAATAGACGAAGCGAAGGAAGAACTGTTCAATCTTGTTAGCTCCGCTCAAATAAACGGCGCACCGATATTAATATTCGCTAACAAGCAAGATCTACCCAACGCATCGGCACCGGTGGAGGTTACGACCAAATTATCACTTCATAATCTGAGTTCGAGACACTTGTGGTATCTACAGCCTACCTCGGCCGTTTTAGGCGATGGGATTGTAGAAGGGCTACGCGTTCTGTCCGACATGATAGCGCAATGGAAGGCTGACATTAAAAACTTGAAGAGCGGCCGGCGAAAGAGGAAATTAGCCGCATCAAGAAGTAACTCCGTGAACAACATTTTATGATGATAGCGGTGTAAACTTAGAAAAAGAACATCAAAAATTGGTGTATTTAAGCCTAACAATTTTATTTGTGGCAATCTCAAGTTATAGACTAGTTATCTTTGCACGATTTGCAACCATCGATGATTCTTTTAATTATACCCGCTTCGGCTTGGAAAGTTTACACGATCGATAAGGCCGGTGCGATTAGATTCCGAAATTGTCGTAGAAAGTGCAATTTGTTGTCATTCAGTTTCTCACGATTTGTTCATTTTCAATGGCTGAGGAAACAGTTTTTCGACTGGCCCTAACAGTTTTGCTTTTTACAGAATAGCAATTCTTGATTCTACGGTTTTAGCGATGTTTACAGTTGTAATTATGTTTATTCATTTTGTCTCACGACATCGCGTAATTTTGAATTACCAAATGATGTGCTTTACAACTATGTTGCCTCAATTTTCAAGTTAAGATTTCATTGTATGCCATTTTTACTCACAACGAAGCTTTTTTTTTTCTTTTTAGTAAGCGCAGCCGGTTTAATGTTTTTGTTTTTCTTCACGGAACATTGAACATGTTGGATGCAGTGAAGGCCAAGACGTTTCACTTTGGATAATATATATGAAATTTGTATTCCAAACACGTTTTAGGAACAAGTAGTTTTCGCCTTTATTATTTCCTGGGCTTTCCTGAGCCGGATGAAGAAGAAATGTACATATAACTTTGTATTCTACCAAAGTGTATTTATTTCAGTTGTTAAAAACTATAAACTATTTATGATATAAATGTGAAACCCTTTTTCTATTCAATTTGTAGTAAACCATTGTGTTTCTCGGAAAAAAAATAAATGTCGCAGTTTCTGTGCGTGTGATTAATTTGAGACGTCGTGTGAGACAGGATATTTACTTCAATTAATTTTCTTGGTAACACTGGAGCATGGTCGTCATATTGTTGCGTAATCGAACATCTCGACATTTCTCGAGCGGGGTCCTCATAGATGTCGATGGTATGGGGAAAACTGGATGGTATAAACCCCCGGGGGGTGGGTACTCACTTACATGGGCTATATAGGTGTGAGGGTATGGTTTTTCAGTCATAAACATGGAATCGATTTTGGCCATTTCGGTCTTAATATACAAATAGGGTATGGTTTTTGCCAGTCTGGTCTTGAATTGGGTATGCATTGCCTAGAAGAAAATACTTTTTCATCATTATCGATAAGACCATCAACAAAAGCGCTTCACACATTATATTTATGGAAACTCCGTCAGGTCATAAATAGGGTATTTTTGTTCAGGTAATAAATAGTGTAGGAAAAATCGCAGATTTTAGTCATAAATGGGGTTAAGGTTTTAGGAAACGGGCCTCACACCCCCACCCATTTTTTTCTGAGAGTATCCCTTGCGTCCCCGTGCTATAAAAAATTTTGCCGCACTTTCGGGAAGTAGCTAGCTTTTTAGTTTCGAAACTATCGACGTATTGTATTGATAAAGTGCCGTTCTGGTCACAAAAAATACGGCTCAACGGAGTTATCAAAGTGACATTCGAAATTTACCCGAAGAAAGTAACACAGAAGCAAACTGCATACAGACATCTGTTGTTCGCCTTGAAGCAAAAGGAAATAAATGTACAGGAAAAACGAGTCACGGAAATAAGAAATATAAAACGAACCAGAGAAGCTGTCAACTCCAAGGCTGTTGTTGTTGTTGCCTGTTGTTGTTGTTTTTTTTTACATTTTCGAAGCCAAGTCTGCTCAATAGCTGGTCAACAACTTTGATTATGATGACCCTTCCGCGAATAAAGAAGCAAAAACCGCCATTGTTAGTATTTGAGAGCAAGGCAACTGCGAAATGAGAATCCGAACTCAATCCCGTCTAAATTTCCACAACGGTAGAGTTCTACGATCATTAGTGGCTTAACTGAATACCCCGCCTCTCTAATGAAATTCCGTAAGTCTTTCGTTGAGAAGCTAGTGACTGGCAAAGCAAACTTTTACTCAGTCACATAGCCATGTACTCTCAGTAAGAATGTTGATGTTATTTATTTTTGTTGACAGTTAAAATATATTTTGGAAGTATTTCACTGAGTTGCCAGTTAACAGATCAATCCTGATACTCTTAAAAATTACTCTTATTAAAGAGTTAACAAAGTAACTTTGAAGGAAACAGATAAACTGGAAAAGGCTTTCAGTTCCCAGTATACATTACATACGTGACAGCTCCTGCAGCCATAAGCGGTAAAGAGTACGAAATTCAAAGTCGAATAACTCGGAATAAAACAATGCCAAATATGAATTCAGAGCAAGCATTTTTTTGGAAACGAAATACGGTATTTCGTATGGGGCGCCGTTTGTAAATTTATTATTTAGACCGAATTTATGCCATTTTCCCCTTATTTATAAATAATTGGAAATGTCACAAAATTTGTTTATAAATAAGACACAAGAACTTGTCCGTTGATATGTAAATAATCATTTTAGGTACGTCCTGATTTATAAATAATCTTTTACCATAGAGTTATTATATATAAATAACAAACTAAACAACTTCAATTATTTATAAATCAGGTCAT